GTCTTAAAGAAAACGGAATATTTTTAATAAACGTCATAACAAGACAAGTTGAACGATATAAAAAACTTTAATTTTGTAATTTTCAAATTATTTTAAAAATTCTGTTTTTATCCGGAATTAGAGGTCTATATTCCTAATTCCGGATACATATAAAATATAAAAAAATACATTCTGCAGTGCTGAATCCTTGTGTTAAGGATCTCAAGTTTTGTGGAGTAGCATCATTTAAAAAAACTGGCTCAGGTCTATCAGTTACGTAAAATGTAAGAAAATCATTGTCAGAATATATTTTGGAATTTAAAGGGTAAATGCCGGTTTTGATAAATCCATTTGTAATATTTCTCATGCTGAAAGCAGCTAAATAAGCATCTCTAGCAAACTGCGCAACCTGACTGTTTTTCCAGGATTTAAGAGCATCCATTCATTCATAGCTATTATGTATCTTGTTTTAAATGAACCATACACATCTACATCTAAAGGCTGTAACTTATGGCTACAATGTGGTGGAAAAGTTAGAATTTTTACAAAATGTTGTCTGGCTAATTTTATCACACGAAGATTAACATGGGAGGCATGATTATTTAATATTAATAAGGCAGGATTTTTTTTACTTGGTTTTACATGGCTTACAAAATGTTCTATTGCTTTCACAAAACTATTTTTAGTCATCCATCCTGAAACATGAGATAAACCTAATGCTCCAGAAGGCCCAATATTCAACATGTGATCCTTATAATTTATTCGAGGAAAAATTATCACTGGAGGTATAGTACCACCTCCAGCATTAATAAAAAAAAGAGTAGTCACAAGCGTACCTCGTTCTGCTGGTGTAACCTGTCCTATTTGTTTTTAGCCCTTTGAAGATATGATCTTTTGGAGGAGCAGAGGCGGTACTGCATCCTGTTTCATCTGCATTGAAAATCATGTGTAATGGAAATCTATACTTTTTGTAAATGCAGGTTAGCTTTTCAAAGAATGTATTAATATTTATCTTGTTGAAACTTGTTGCTCTAGACAGAGATGTGCTCTCAGGTTTTCTGACTGACAAATCTTTGTGCCTAGTGATAAAGCCACGAAGCCATTCCACAAATGCTATTTTATCATCCTTCCATTTTTCAGGACAAATACTATTTTCCTCTGCGTACTGAAAAGCTAGTTACCTTGCTTGTTTTTTCGTCAAACCGTGACACACTTTAGATGCAGTTTTTCGATACAAAACTAATAAATCTTCTTGATAATTAGAAAAAATGCGTTTGTTACTTATATTTGGGCCATGCACATACTAATCCTCAGTATTCTAAACCTTTTTAACCACTTTTGCTAATTAGGCTCTTGATGTTTCAAACAATAATGCTGTTTTTTTAATGGACTGGTTGCCAGCATTCACTTCCCTTACAGCCTATTCTATTGCTGAAACTGGGGGCTTTTGTCGCTTTCTTAGTAGTTGATACTTGTGAAGACATGTTTTTCTTTTAAAGATAAAAAATAATAAATGAGAAAAACAAAAGTATTAATATACACTAGTCAAATGTTTATAAAAACATTTATATACACAAGTCAAAAGAACAAATTGTTTTGACAGTAAATGCTATTTATGAATCATAGTGATTATAAGGCATTTCACATATATTAACTATGCTAGTGATATATGAGTAAATACAATAATACAAAATAAGTGTTGACAAAATAATATTAAGTTTGAAACAAAAATAAATTTTAATTATTAAAAAAAAATTATTTAAACTTTATTAAAAACTTTTTTAATATTTGAATATATTTTTTAAAGTTTAAACGCACCTAAGTATTACGACTTCAGGAAAAGTCTTTCAAACAATTGATTTCAATAGAAAATGAACAATGAGGCATGACGAAAAACAATGTTGTCCTAAAAGCGCAAAACAGTTATTTAATTTTAAAAAAAGCTTAATAGAAAAGACCGGCTTTTTCATAGCATAAAAAAGTGGCTCTTTCAAAAAATTCTATGGTAAAAAAAATAACCTGAAATTAAACAAATTTTACGGAAACTTTAATCTAATATTATTTGTCGAAAAGAAGGACACATATATATAACAATGCAGCATATATGTTTTATCAAATAATACAATACTCTTTATCTTAAAAATAAATAAGTAAACCCTGAAAAAATTACTTTTTATTTTCAAAATTTTTAGTGCACCCTTACGACGCTATTTATTTTGGTAGAACTCTAAATTTTTTGTGGGCGACAGCGTTGTCACATAAAAAGTAAAATACAATTATGGTCGGGTGCCAGTAAATTAGATATAACAGCATCGGCTCTTTCAAAACCTGGCTCTTTCATACACACTCTCCCCTACATTCGTAATATTATCTCAACATTTGTAAATGTATCCACAACTTGCTTCTTCAGCAATAGTTTGTAAAGAAAATGTTCCCTCTCAAAGTTATCATCTTCTTCAAGAAAAAAGTCAGTGAAGAAAGCTGTAAATTGCACAAGCTCACCACTAAGTGCTGGATCTAAATCATCCTTATATTCATCAACCAATTTTCTTGCAGCTGCTTTTTTCTCATTGTACTCTAGTGAATCCAGTTTTTTCAAAAAACCGAAAAGAGAACAGGTATTCTCATATGCTTTTAAGCGTTGATTCAAAAAGATTTGATATTGATCTGTTACAGGGAGAAAGTTCTGGACTCGAAATTTTTCAGATGCTATGTCTAGCTTCTTCTGATCCTCCATTATCTAATGGAGTGAGCTGCACGCTTTGATAACGCTCTCGTACTCTTACATATTCACCAGTTCCAGACATCTCCTTCTCTTTTTCCTCATAATCACGAAAATGCTCTCGTTTTTCACTCACAAAACACTGCAGAGACTTCAGTGCTGTTATGGCTGTGTTCAGATCGAGTTTGGGATCTTGTTTTATATGACTTGTAGGATTACTTCGAACAAGAATGTTGTGCCAAATTGCAGCATAGATACCAGTTTCAAGTTTGCACATCTTGCCATAAAGACCATTTGCCTCGGAACGTGCTTAAATGTTTCATTTTCATTCTCTGATATATTATGAATTGTATTGCGGATAGGATGATATCCAACGATGAGAGCTTTTACTGTATCGGATCGGCAGGACTATTGTGTTGTAGACACTCTTTTCGGTACATGCAACCAACCAGGTTCCACACTTTTTAGAGAGTCTGTGAGAAGTGCCTACCGATTTGTGGAAGCTGTGAAGAACACATAAAGTGCCTCAAGAAAGTCAAAAAATGCTACAGCTGAAGCACAGCATTTTCTTGCTGCTACTCCAACCAGATTTAGTGAATGTCCAGCAAAGGGTATCCAAGTTGCGTGATGATTTACAGCTGACACTTTAGCTTGAAGACCATTGTATCTCTCACTTATAGCTGAAGCGTTATCGTAAGATTGCCCACAAAAATTCTGAATGTCAATGTCATGGTTTTCAAGAAAATTCATTAATCCACGAAACATTTCTTCCGCTTTGTGTCCTTGATTCGGCAAAGATTTCACGAATCTTTCAATTGGTCTATCTTGTTCCATATATCTGAATATTTGAGTTAGTTGATCCACATGACCTTCATCAGCAGTAGAATTAAGAGACACTAAAATTGTCATTAAAACAAAATCATTTCACGCCTAAAATTGTCGAAATAGTATTTCGACAATTTTAGGCGTGAAATGATTTTGTTTAAAAGTTGATTGCCCATTAGTCTTATAAGTTCTTCACAGACAGTAGATAACAAATAGTTTGTATGACCAGAACCACGACTGGCAAGATTTTTTATGTGATGTCCTAAGAAATCATCGTATTCTGTCAAAAGTTCTAGTAACCCTAAATAATTGCCATTGTTAGGCGATCCGATCGTTTCATTATCTCCACGAAGAGCGAGGCCTCGTTCACATACAAACTTAAGCACACTTCCCAGCGGGCACAGACGTCAATCAGATGTCTTACGGACGTCTTAACTAGGTCGCGACGTCTCAGACCAAATTAGGACGTCCTAAAGACGTCCGGTAGAGACGTCTTTGTTAGGACGTCAAAGTGACGTTAATATAAAGACGATATTAGGATTTCCGTATTTAGACGTCCTATTGACGTCGCTAAGACCTACATTAGACGTCCTAATTACCTTAAAAAATTTATATTAACAACTTGGCGCATACAATATCATGCGCTAACTCGGTTAATTAAAAATGTCTACTTGTTTTGGTTGATATTAATAATGATATTATTAATTTTGTTTAGTTATTTATCGTTTAAAAATATTTTTCAATTTTCTATATTCTATACTCTATGATCTATAAACTATAATCTATACAATTTTTAAATTAAAGAAAATTTTGTTTAGTTATTAAGTGTAACTAAGTTACAATTATAGTGTATATATATATATATATATATATATATATATATATATATATATATATATATATATATATATATATATATATATATATATATATATATATATATATATATATATATATATATATATATATATATACATATACATATATGCAAAGATTTGTAATATCTTGCTGTAAAAATAAGTAAATAAATAAATTGTATATATTTTGTTGTTCACGTGTTGTTTCATTCAATTTGATGATTTTTCCTTTGATGGGTTTGATGAATTTGATGGGTTGTATATACAATTTTAAGATTATTACTTATGTTGATACCTCGTTACTGTATTGTTTCGTTTAATTTAATAATTGTTCCATTGTGGGATGTATATATAATTATTTATACATGATTTATACATTATATTATAATGTGTACATAATGTATACATATTCATTATATATATATATATATATATATATATATATATATATATATGTATATATATGTATATATATATATATATATATATATACATATATGTACACATATACATATACATATATATATATATATATATATATATATATATATATATATATATATATATATATATATATATATATATATATATATATATATATATATATATATATATATGTATGTGTGTGTATGCGTGTGTGTGTATGTGTATGCTTGTGCATGTGTGTGTATTGATAAATGT